CCTTTGCTTCCTTTCTGAGCCTTTCATTTTCCTTTACTCGCTTCAAGAAATCTTCTCTGCATTTAGAATGTGTTAAGTGCTCAATACGAACATTAATTCTCTTTGCAATAATCCGTCCACGTACTCTCTTATTGACAATGACACCAAGAGCATGAGGAGTTACATTAAATACACGTCCAGTTTTTCCGTGATAAACTTTATAAGGCATTCCTTTTTGGACAGCTCCATTGCCTTTAATGTCGACGATATCACCAACTTTATACACTTTCATATATGTCGATAATGGAATTGTTCCATGTTTGCGGAACTTTCGGGAAAATAAATCCCTTGTTCCTCGACGATATCCTTTTGAATTTGTCATGATAATTCAGTCTGTAACATACATGATTGAAATTTTGATGAAACTTTATTATTTGAAATATGGTACCAGAACTATTATCATTATTCGAAATTGGTTATGTTAATTTGATGAATCGTAATCTTTTTTCACATGAAATTATAGTAAAGTATATTTAATAATACTAAATTTTAACAAATGTCACGATTGAACAGAACATTTTGACTAAAATTTAAACTGCAAATGTGTAATATATGAAAGTACACTGACATGTGCTTTCGTTAATGAAACACTTCTGAATGAGATTTTGCTTTCCGTATATAAACGCAAAAGATAAATATAGTAAATATAGGTTTTATAAACTTTGGCAATATAAAAAGTGAAATAGGAAGCTAATATTATACAAATCTTTAAAAATATTATCAAACGTACAAGAAACAAACGGAACCACTCACGTTCTTGAAGAAAAGAATTTAAGAACGGCAACCCTGTAGTAATTATATAAAAATCGATATATAGGATATTTCGATGTTTAGTAATCTAAATTTTCCTATATCATAGTTATTCCGTATTTTATGTAATAGTACAGAAATATCTACACAGTCTTATCTATTTTTCAATTAATGTACTTTAAAAATAAATTTTGAGACTAATAACAAATTTATTAAACTTTTCTTAAACAAAAATATGAATTGATACATACATTTAGTAAAGCGACGAAATTTAAAATAATAGTATTAAAACAACATAATATAGTTTCAAAAACGTTAGTATTAATTTATTAATTGATGTAAAAATTATTATTTTTCTAAATTATTTTTATAATAGTTAAATTACGTTTATAATAGTTTGAAATTTTATTCGCTAGATTACGCTTTCAATATCACAAGTGTTTCCTTTCTATCGTTTATTAAACCATAATACCACTGCATGACAGTTGTTTTCTGAAGATTCGGTGTTGGAGATAGTTATTTTACAAGTTTACATTATTTGTGAACTAACTATTATTAAATAATGGTACGTATTTTATCTAATTTTCTATGTCTAAAAGTAGAAATAACGTGTTTCTTATCATTATTATAATATTTGTAAAGCTACATTTACTATCAAAGAAGGGTTATATACCTAGATGTGTAATTTCAAATTTTCTAATTAATTTTTGTATAAACTTAGATTATATATTTATATAACTACATATTAATATACCTTTTAATTTAGTTATTCAATTTTTCTTGTAATAACTATAATTAACAGAATTACAATTCATGGTTAGCATAAAATATAAACTATTGAACAAAATATGATATAAGAAGATAATTTTACATATTTTTCAGTTCCGTAATCAATATGACAGCGATGTTACAGTTTGGAGTCCACAAGGACGCTTACATCAAGTAGAATATGCAATGGAAGCTGTAAAATTAGGGTCAGCCACTGTAGGACTTAAAAATAAAACTCATGCTGCCCTCATTGCACTCAAAAGAGCTTCTTCTGAGCTTTCTGCATATCAGAAGAAAATATTCCCTATAGATAAACATATGGGAATCTCTATTTCAGGTTTAACTGCTGATGCCAGAATGTTAAGGTATATTATAAATTATGAAATACTGATTTTTATGTATCATTATTCATAAAAATTTGCATGTCTAAAAAATTTTATTTCTCTGATTACAGCCGATATATGCGAACTGAATGTTTGAACTATAAGTATTCTCATGATGATGTATTACCTGTAAGTCGTCTACTTGCATCATTGGGAAATAAATTGCAAACTTGTACTCAAAGATATGACAGAAGACCATATGGTGTAGGTTTACTTATTGCTGGATATGATGTAAGTTATTACAAATTAATCATTGCTATTTATTGAAAAACAAATTGCTATTAAAGTGTGATTAATATTCTTAAAGGATCAAGGGCCACATATTTATCAAACATGTCCTTCATCAAATTATTTTGATTGTAAAGCAATGGCTATTGGTGCACGTTCTCAGAGTGCTCGAACTTACTTAGAGAAACATCTTAATGAATTTTCATCATGTGATCTTGATGAACTGATAAAACATGGTCTTCTTGCATTAAGAGATACATTACCTAATGAAGTAGACTTATCTGTTAAGGTATAAGAATGATATTTCTCATAAGTAATTATGCAATATCTTCACATAAACATTTTTCAGAATTTATGTGACTGATAAGTGTGATTATTTTATTACAGAATGTGTCTA